AATATCGTACAAAAAGTGAACTGAAAAGTTAATGGCGCAAACATTATACTGAATTTCTGATTTGCGTATTTATAACCAAAAAAAGGCTCAATTAGGGCGGGTATACAAATCAATGAAATGACCCCTCGTGTGCAGCAGGTATGAGGCTGAACTTTGAAACGTTGTTAGCACGACGAGTCGCCACTAGAATTATATTTCCTTAGGGTGAGTAGTCACCGATAGAAAGAAAAAAACCTTGAGTTGCCCAAAATGTTGAATATCCTCCTGGGATGTACAATCAGTTCTGTCTTTATTTCGCCCGGCTGTCATGCACATTCTAATTGGCCAATTATACCCCCGCAATATTGCATTTCTGTCAGTGAGGAGTATATTACACTGAATGGCTAGAATTCCCGGAGGGCACAATAAATAATCGAATACATTTCGTAGAAATAATATTTGAGAAAACTGAATCATAATGTTCACCTCTTTTGTACCAATGACTAGCAATGTAGCATCTGCATCTTGACATGAGTTTCCACTTTTTGTGTGTGTAGGACAGGACAGATCAAGCGACAGCATATTCCACCCACGGTGCCAATTTAATAATAATAATAATAAAAATAATAATAGCCTAATAGTCCACTCCAAATTTAATATTAAACCGAAACGGAAATTCCTTTTGCCCAATTGATCGTGAGCCCGGCAGCGACTGAGCAGCGCCAGATCGACGTTGCTCTATCCCTTATTGTTGAACGCTAAATAAGGTAGCAACAACTCCCATCTTTTAACGTCTTTTGGTATGACGCGGCCGGGGTTCGAACCCACATTTAGGCAGTTAGTTTGACATAAATTTGCGATTCCAGCTATACCTCCGCCTAAAATCCATAGCAAGTTTTTCTTGGTTTCATGGAGGACGGAGAGAGAGAGAGACAGAGAGATATGAGTGGAGAGAGAGAGAGAGAGAGAGCGAGAGAGAGAGATAGAAAGAGAGAGAGAAAGGAGAAAGAAAGGAGAGAGAGAAAGGAGAGAGAGAGAGAGAGCGAAATAGAGAGAAAGTTTAGGGGAGGGAAAGAAAGAGAGAGAGATAGAGCGCGTTTAATTCTTCTTTATCTTTTCTTCTCCTTTTTCTTCTACTCCTTCTTATTCTACTCTTTCTCCTCCTCATTCTTCCTCCTCTTCATTCTTCCTCCACTTCTTCTTCTTCTCCTTCTTCTTCTTCGACTTCTTCTTCTTCTTCTTCTTCTTTTCTTCTTCTTCTTCTTCTTCTTCTTCTTCTTCTTCTTCTTCTTCTTCTTCTTCTTCTTCTACTTCTTCTTCTTCATTGTCATCTTCTCCTTTTCTTTCTCATTTCGTGTTCCTATCGGTTCTTTAAAATTGCGCTTTATTGTTCAAAATGTCCCGGGTCCAATCATTCTTCAATGCCATCGACCATCAATCGCGACCGTATTCCCCCACAATAAGGGGAACACGGCGCTGTCACTCCTGCCCCCGTCTTCCATTCCTCCGCTCCCTAACGAACGTTGGGTGCCATTTAAAACCCAATAGATGAGGACAGATTGGCCTTAATGACGTTGAATAAAAGATGCGACTGGTTGGGATAATGAAGAATGCGGAGGAGGATGGACATGATGGGTGCATGCCCTTATCAACAAATTTATCCTGTACTCTCTTGTTATTTCTGCCTGACCTCCTGTTGCACCTTACCCAAAGTGCCCCGCGGGAGCAACCCCAAATAAATTGAACTGTTGAAGTCGCCTTTGATCTTGTGTACATACATAGTCATTAGTTTTTAGTTTTTTCGTTCCCTCTGCCTGGTTTATGAATGGCAAAATGTATGAAAAACATAGCCCTCTTTGTACTGAAGAGGAGGGTTAGTTCATCCATGGATGCATCGAATTGATCAAAGTACACGGCAAAAGACCCCAGAAAAGTGAATGTAAAAGTGTCCTGAAAGTTCTTTCCCACCTTCATATCGGGACGTTAAAAAAATGCAATAACTTCAATAGACTATTCTGTCTGCTGAAGAGTTACTAAGAAGTAACATGTCATTTTCGTTTTTGTTGTTGTTGTTGTTGGGGGAGGGGAGGAGGGTATTTGTCGACTAAATCTTATCCGGGGACATAAAAAATGGATGTATAACCCCGCCCAAAGCGAATCAAATGCATCTACCGACATTACCGAATATGTATCTCGTACTTAAGCAATTTGTAAAAATCAAGGTTCTTGAATGTTTGGCATGTAACTTTTCAGTGTTTTGTTAAAGAAGCTCAAGGATTTCGTTAAAAAAAATATTTTGGTACCCGATCTAAAGATGTTGTTATGAAATAATTCACCACTGTGTAAAGTGCTTTTTTTTAATGATATACATGTAGGTCTATTATATATATATATATATATATATATATATATATATATATATATATATATATATATACATGCATATATCTATGTAGCGTGAAAAAGTAAATGTAAAACAAAGAAATGGACAACAAACCTTAACTCTTATTTTCTAATATGAATGTGATTTAGCACCAGCATTTATCTTTAACATTAGTCGAAAACTGACGGATGTGTCTTCAGATTGTGTTTGTCTAAACCATATTAGATATTTGTCCGAGAACTTTTTTTTTTAATTCCCTCTTTAAGATCAACCAGTGCGAGTATTAATGAATGCTCCGAGTCAATATTTCCGGGCTGATGTACAGGTACATAGGACAAGTAGAAGTCGAAAGTGGTTCAGTGAGTCGACTATATGAGGGCCTGTAGGGATACGGTGGTTATTCTGGGGCACGTAATAGTGTAACCGAGGAACGGGTATGGTCTTACAAATATGGGTTTTGTTTCATAATGTTTGCGGACCCGTTTGATGTTACTCTTCCCCCTCGGGCTAGAAACGGACTCTATACGAACATGGGTTGCTTTCTCTGTCTCTCTGTCTCTCTCTCTCTCTCTCTCTCTCCCTCCCTCTCTCCCTCTCTCCCTCTCTCTCTCTCTCTCTCTCTCTCTCTCTCTCATTCTATCTTCCTCTGTCTCTCCCTCTTTCCTCTCCCTTCTCTCTATATCTCCCTTGATTTTTGTCTCTATCTTTATATCGTATTGTCCTTCTTTCTGTCTCTTTTCACAACCTCCTATTCTCCCTCTCCCTGTCTTTATATTTCTTTATAATTATGTGAGTGTTTTATCTCTGTTAACCTCTATCAGTATTTGATACTTCTCCATCTTTCTCTCTTTTCCTCGAACCTTATCATGCTTGGTACATGTATATTTCTGTTAGTCTAGAAATAAATTCGAGCGCTCTATCTCTCTCCTTACCTCATGTCTATGTACACCTCTCTCTCTCTCTCTCTCTCTCTCTCTTTTTCCCTTCTTCTTCTTCTTCTTCTTCTTCTTCTTCTTCTTCTTCTTCTTTCTTTTCTTATTCTTCTTCTTTTCTGTGTCCATATACCTCTCCCACTCTCTCTCTCTCCCTCTCTCTCTCTCTCTCTCTCTCTCTCTTTCTCTCTTTTTCTCTCATATTTATTATTCTTTTAAATCCCGTCATTCTAGTTTGCTCTCAATCTTCGATGTGATTTTCATAATTACTACGTTAGCTCTTCGTTTGCCTTCATTCATATTGTAAAGCAAATGTCCTTGCAGCTAAGCGGGAATCTTGGAAGCACTTGCTGCCAGCGACATTGATATGAATATCTTTACCACTCTGGTTATGTATTTCCATTCTTTTTCTCATCGTGCTAAAAGGTAACTCTAAAGCATCCCCCCTTTCATTTTTGAAAGCGAGTAAAAAAGCTTTTACAGATATTTACCTACGCCGCGCACGGTGTATGTTAGTCAACTGTTAACAAAGGTGAAAAGGTAAAATCAAATACAAATGTTTTCATGATTCAACATCTAACAGTTCTCCTAAAAACGGTTACCTAGCAATAAAGAAACAAGTCACCATTAATCGGTTGTGGACATCGTCGAAGCTTGGGCGAGTGCTAATATTTATGAAATAATACTGAACAAAAACTCCAATGTTGTAATACAACCTCATTTCGATTAATGACAGGCTTACCTCAACACGCGATGATGCTCAATATTGTATTTATTAATAAATACGAGTCTCTGTACTATAATGTTTCAATATTACAAACTCACTATCACTTATGATGATTTAAGTGTGAGTTTTGTCTGGCATTTATTAAATTATGATCCAGCTTGCCACATTAAACAAATATACCACTGAATTAGACAAACAATAAGTATGAGATTTTGACTCGGAATTGAGCGAAATTGCGTATCGGCAAAGACTGTTGAATCGACAGTGCAGACATTGTTTTCGGATTAGTGAATGTTTTCACATTTATATTCTAAATCTCGGAACGTAATTCAATATTTTAGTTTTGAGTTGTAGATAAAATTGGAAGAGAATCGTGTAAATTAAATAATCGTAACCGTTTCATTCGGAATAGAAAAAGCAAAAAAATCGTTCTTGACCAAATGTAAAAAGAAAATGTGCTTCCGTTTTTATTTGATTAACTTTCATTATTATAAGTCTTGCTCCTGTGATGGTATATATTTTAACTTAAGATGAAACATTGTTTAAAACATACAAATCATGTAAAGATTACGTAATACGTCGCTGTAATGTTCGAAAGGTAATCAACAAGGCTATTAAAATTGCCTCGACTTGGGTTTTTTGGCAATGTTTCCGATGTTATGTAAAAGTGCAGGTTTTTTTGTATTAATTTTGTTGACCTGCCCGATGTATATATGTAGGCCTGCTGTTCCTTTGGATGATTTATTCTGATTTGAATCTCTCTCTCTCTCTCTCTCTCTCTCTCTCTCTCTCATCCCCTCTCTCTCTCTCTCTCTCTCTCTCTCTCTCTCTCTCATCCCCCTCTCTCTCTCTCTCTCTCTCTCTCTTCCTCTCCCTCTCACTATCTTCGTCCCTCCCATTACATTTCTCTCTCTCTCTCTCCCCCCTCTCTCTCTCTCTCTCTCTCTCTCTCTCGCTCTCTCTTTCTATTTCCCTACAGGTGTATGCTGCTCATAAAGGTGTAGACATTCAATGGCTAGGCGGCAGTCCTCCCAGGGCCCAACCTGTATGCGGCTTCGACGGAAGCCTTTGCAAGACCAACTATACAATTCATATCGTAGCTGGCGTGATTGCTGGAATTATTATGCTCACTGCAATCATAGCTACTATAGTGTACAGGTAACATAATTTCCCTCATGTGAAGTTGCTGACTGTGAAAGAAAAAGGGGAAAATAACCAGGGGAATAATTCAGGTTTTATGCAATAAAACTTCTAATATATATTCCTATTATTTGATGAGCATTAATATTTAACAAATTTTCTACTAGTTCATCCCTAAGCATCAAATGCATACCCAAGAAGAATAAAGTCATCGTTTGCTCCGCCAGACTACTTTAAATCAATTCAGAGAGAGGCATCAGATAGCAGCTTCTACACCCGAAATAGGGTTTTACAGAAATAATCCTAACATCCTAACTATATTTTAACAATATCAACCCAACATGTGTACGATGATTTTTTTTAATGTAATGGTAAAACAAAAAATATAACACAGATTGCGGTATTAAATTACAAAATACACCTCACTCCACTTATTTTGTGTTTCTTCCAATCATCGGGGCATCGAGTGGTGTTGGGTGGTTGCGTTAAATGACCTTTTTGTGAAAACATGCTCTTTAATTCACGAAATTTCGGGGTTAATGTTTGCGAAATAAACCCCTCTCATTTACAATCTGGACCAATTTACCAAACACTTTGTGAAAACCCTACGGCAAATCTACAAAAGGTCGCATGATTTTCCGTTTCCGTTTTCGTTTCACGAAAGGTCGTGTAACGCGACCACCCGACCGAACGTGATGCCCCTATGATCCAAAGTAAGCCTTTATTCTGGTCGTTCATTGTGCCCTTAAAATTGAATGTAATCAAATAATGTATTTCAGAACGGATTCTGTTTTGTGTTTTCTACAGAAATTGGCGCTACGAGCAAGCATTGGCAAGCTTACTTTGGAAGATAGATTACAATGAGTTGGAATTCAAGAGCATATGTCACGGCAGTCGGGTAAGATATGTGAATTTATTTGTGTTCTTTTTCTTCTTCTTGCCCCCACCCCCCCCCCCCCTACCCCCCCCCCCCCCCCCACATAATTGTTCAGTGCTTTGCAGTGTATACACACTGTAAAAAAATAATAGTCGAAATAACTCAATAAAATTGAGGAAAAGAATTGCCTTATTTTTATTAAGTAAATATTACCTACGGCATCTTAAGTAGAATTTACTTATTTTGCTGAATAAATTTTTACTCAGTTAAATCGAGTTACATTAACGTAAATAATTTAAGTATTGTAATCATTTTAGATAATTAAAAAAAAAGCTATGATAGGATTACATATTGCACGATTTGGTACCCATCTAATCTAACAAGTAACATCCACTAATCATTCACTACTTCTATTTAAGATTTAACCGTATATATATATCTACCACCATCACTAACTATTACATACGCTTCAATTCGACACATATTGAAAGGCTCCAAATTTTATATATACTTGATCGTAGCATCTTAAAAGGAAAATTGGTTGACAATTTCCTGAAATATCAGGTTTTGATTTGTTTTGAACTGGGTAACAATTAAAAATTGTCTTGCCTTTGCTTAGCCATGTTAAATGAATTAGTAAATGTTTTAAAGTCCTTAAATTTTCATTCAACCACAAAAAAGAATTGTTTTATTTAAAAAAGAGTTTCATTTGGTCTTAATGAATATTCATAAATTATGTAAATATTTCTATTACGCACTGCATCGGTCCTTACTTTAAAAAGATAAGAATAATCAACATAAATTGTTTGAGTAATACGTATAATTTCTGATTTTGAGTTAAAATTACTAAATTAATACAAGCTGAAATTACTTAAAGTTCTTATGTATTTGATTTTACTTAAATATTCCACGTATGTTCTACTAAATTGAAAGTTTGAGTTAGCAAGACTTAAATTTAGTGCGTAAGTGGCAAAACTAATGTTTTCAAGTAAATTCTACATGGAAAAAATACGTAAAAATTACCAATGAACAAATTCTTTTTTACAGTGCAGAAGGCATAAGGAAAATCTCCCCAAAACAACCTGCTGTTGATAAACTGTATATTTTTGTAGAATAATGCTGTGGATTTATTTCATATGTTTGCCATTTTGAAGAGAGTAGCAAATGTAGATTAGTGTGTTGCCAACAGGCATTGGTGCCGCGGCGGGACTCGAACAGTGAAATATGCGATCCACAGTCCAGTGACGTATTTAATGGACCACGGCACCTTTATTAGTTATAATGCCTTTAAGGGTGGTTAAAATATCACGATTCCGATTAAGGTTTAATTTTAACTTTTGCTTTCTCTCTCTCTCTCTCTCTCTGTTTGTTTATTAAACTGCTTCAGTCTAGCAGTAATCACTATTCACAGTACTCGTAAACATTACTTTTAAGATGTTCATGCGTGGGTATATAGTCGTTTGTGAAGTAGGCAACTTGGCGAACACGACATAACACTGGGGTAACGGGTATTACGCTCCCGTGCGTACTAGTGTCACTCAGAGCCATCTATACACAGACTTGGGCCAACTTGGTTTCACTGGGTCACAACATGTTGTGAGCTTGCCCAACAAAGCAGTAGTCGCCATATTGTGTCCAACTCGAACCGGGTTGGCCAAACTCTCTTAATCAATGGCACTGGTGTCCCTGTATGTGTGCTGCCCTCTATAAACCCACGCATGAGCAACTTTAAAGTAGAGACTTCCACCTTAATCAAACGTTTTACAGAGCATAAACTAATAGCAAGGGGGATATGCCACTTGACTGGATGAAAGGTGTCATGGACCTAGGATAAAAATGTAAAATGTTGGAGAAAATGTGCACACGCAAATTGTCAAAACCTCATGATGTGTATTTATATTTTACGATAAATAAGCAGTTTCTTCCAATCCCAATCGGTTGTACACTTTTCTCATTTTCAGTTAAGTATTGCGACGCATGATTCAAGAGTGTCTATGTACGCAGACCCGTTGTCAGGGCGGGGTCAGGTTTTCACCCGGGTGGGGCGGTACAACCACACCCTGGTAGCCATTAAACCCGTCCACAAGAAGCACATTGAGATGAGCCGCTGTCTTCGAAAGGAACTTAAAGTGGTGAGTACAGCACTGACTGATATAAAGCCCCACTGCACTACTTATAGCTACTTGCGCCCTCTATATAGCAAACTAGGCTTAATGGGTGACCATTGGTCCCCCATGATCCCCTTTTTCTTATGTTAATTGAGAGCTTAATTGATGAGATAGCCGACTCTCAGTGACTATGCAGGGAGGTCTAATCCCTCCTGGCCAAACTAGTGCAGAAGGGCTTTAAGGAACACAATGTCAAGACTGATTTTGATCTCCTAATTTTATGTGAAAACCCCGAAATCTTCCCTTCATTTTATATTCTGACTTTAGATTCAACTACGATACATGTACCTGTACCTCTCGTTTAAAAAGCACTGGCAAACATCTTTTGTATTTTTCTTTCTTTTAAACATTATTCTGAGACCATTTTGGGGGATTTGGGGGATTTGGGGATATACGATCCAATGGCTTCCATTGGTAAATCAATAATGATAAATCAAAATCTCGTGTACGTCTCTTTTATGATGATTCCTTTTCCATGTATTTATTTTTATTAGAATTAAAGAGTTGAAGAAAACTCAGGGGAATGTGAAATATGAATAGAAGATAAAACATGCATACAACTGTATAATGAAGGATTGTGTCATCCATACACAGACTTAAAATCCCACCTGAAGAACGGTTGATATTAAACCATTCATGTATTTATCTCCATTCTTGTCCATACACTTTATCTATCCAGATGCGAGACATGTGTCACCCGAATCTGTGTCAGTTCATCGGTGCCTGCCCTGACCCGCCTAATATCTGCATCCTCACGGAGTACTGTACACGAGGCAGTCTGCAGGTAAATTATGATCATATTTACCCCATTCTATGATCCGGTGATAATTGCTCTGGTATTTCGTCAACGATAAAGATTAGGCTAGTAGTCCACTGCTTGGAATGTTCTCGATTCGTCTATAGCAGAACCATCTATACACAGAGTTTGGCCAATTTGGTTTCACTGGGTCACAACATGGCATATATTATTTTGTTTTGTGTTTGCCCGACAAAGCAGTAGTTGTCATATTGTGTCCAACTCGAACCGGGTTGGCCAAACTCTATGTATAGATGGCTCTGGTATCACACTCTAGCTGCGTCATGTAAGTTTATATGAATTACGTTGTTTTTTTTTCTTTCTCGTATAGGTGAATACATAGGGTGAGCACGCACTCAGATGTTGTTGTTTTTCTTCAAAATGTCATAATATGGTCTAGTTTCAAGGTAGATTTAGAGTTAGAGTGGTTTAGGATTTAGACTATGACTTTGGCTTGTGAAGGATATTGACCGCAGAGCGATTATCATCGGAGTATAATTTGTGTCATATCGATGTTTGTACGTTTGAATAATTATGTTATTGATATTTCTAGTGAATATGAAGACATGGAGTCGTGCATTTACATGTAACTATATATTGGAACATATTAAAGGATATCAAATTTCGGTCGGGGTATCAGAAGATATATTTCCTGCATTTCCCATTACTTTTATTTGAGAACGCACCAACAGAAAATTATCATAATAAGCACGTGTTATCAAATTTAATGTTCATGTATTTGTTAAGTGTCTCGTTACAAACTAATTCATTCACCTGTTACAAACAATTGTATTTCAATAGTCAGAATGCGAATTGCATACATTTCGTTTGTTAGGTAGCACAAACCATAATGTTTCTCCTACCTAGCAACAATTAATTTCAGTCGGTATTGCCAGTGACCTGTGACATTGTATGAGATATATAATTTACATAAATATGCTCTTATTTTGAAAGGATATCCTGGAGAATGACGACATCAAGTTGGATGAAATGTTCATTGCATCGTTAGTGTCGGATATTGTCAAGGTAATGTGAGACATGGCGGCTTGGGAGTGGGCGGATGGTTGGATGGGGGTGTACTCAACTGATGCGGTATACGGGGATGTGCTGCTCTAATAGGTAGCTTTTTAAAAAAAATATTTAAAAAAAACATTCATAAGCACGGGACATGATTTTGTGTTGAAAAAGCCCTCATTATTTGCTATCCTCACCAAAATCATGAATAAATAAAGGTGCACAAATAATACAATGAATTTTCACCTTCTAAAGTAGGATGGCAAACGATGGTCAATATTCAGGAATGCTTTGTTTTTGTTTTAAAAAGCGATCACTTAGAGCAGCACATCCCAGTATATAACGAATATACGACCCCTCATAGATGGATCATTGCTCATTGGGTAACCTAGTGTTAGTAGCGATGTAGGATTTGGGTTAGGTTTCGGGTTACATTTAGGATTAAGGTAAGCATTAGGATTAAGATTGGGCTTCCGAGATAGCATTAGAAAAGGACAATTCGATATGAGCAACTTGAATGCTCTTTGCTCAGACTGGCTACACGCGTAGCTTACGATTAAATCTTCACTTGCCATTCCACGATAAAATATTCGCCTGCCGCAATTCCCCGTCCAAAGCACATCTGAGTACCACGGGGAGACATGACCCTCGAAAATGTGTGCCATGTGAAATTCTGTCTCCACAGATTTTAAAATTATCATAAAGACCTATTATTAGAAGAGATTAGATGATTTTTATCGGGAAGTAAATTTCATCGTTCCTTTTTTTTTTTTCTTCTTCTTTTTTTGTTTTTGTTGGGGGGGGGGCAATTGTAATTCCTGGAGCTGATCTCATATTCAATTTTTCTTAAAGTCTTTCTCTGAATCTCCCCCTCCCTCTCTCCCTCCCCTCTCTCTCTCCCTCTCCCCTCCCGCTCCCCCCCCCCCCCCTCTCTCTCTCTCTCTTTCTCCTCCCTACTCTCCCTTACCCCTCTGTCCCATACCCATGTCCTTCTCTCAAATTATCTAATTATGAATTATAATATTGTCCATTTCTGTTCTTGCCTAACAGGGAATGAGGCATCTACACAGCACAGAGATCCGTACCCATGGAAACCTTAAGTCCAGTAATTGCGTGGTGGATAGCAGATGGGTCCTGAAAATCACCGACTTTGGTTTGGTTCACTTTAAAGTCGGGCAACAGCCCCCAGACATGGGAGAACATGCATATTACCAAGGTATTGTTATAATAATACCCAGCTTTTATAAAGCCCAAATTACAATTCGGTATCTAAGCGCTTCCAAACTTGGAGATTATTTCTCCGGCTTTAGCTGTGCTGCCATTACGGCGCTCTAGCATTTCAAGAAATTAATTCCTACCAGGTACCTATTTACATCACCTGTGTTGAGTTCGGCAAATGTAGAGTGTTGTTGTGTGTCCCAGGAACATGTATATGTGTAGGAAAGTCCAATGTATTTTGTCCCTAACGTTTCTGATGTGTCGATTTAAATTTCATGAACATTTGAAAACGCCATTATTTTTTACAAAAACTGACAGGGGGTAGTAACTTTTTTGGCACAAATACGAAATTTTAGCTCGGCGTATTCTATTGTGTTGTTTTTTCACTATTAAAAACGCGCAAATACTTTTTTTAAAAAGTGCGATTTCGAAAATTGAAGTGATTAGTTTATTGACATCGCCAATCGGCAGTTTGCATTATGGATGTTAACCTCATTTAATAAAAACAATTCTTTCATCTTTTGTACATGTATATTATTGTTTTATGTGTCAAACAAAGAAAACGACAAAATCTGGTCTAAGATTTGGAAGAAAAATGGATTAGACTGTAGTCATTTTTGTATGGAAATTCTTGAATATTTTGTCAATGGCCTTGTCGGTCGCTGTTCCAATTATCCCCGATTTAAAAACTTGAATAACACAAAACATTTTCCATTGCAGAGGAACAACACCTTACTCAAAAGACAAATTTATGATGTAAATGTGTGAGAATATCAGTCACTAATTTTTTCAAAACTCAGCTGTTACATTATTTGGACCACAAGCCTTCTTATCTTTTAAGTTATTAATAAAAAATTAAAAACTTGTTCTTCATTAACTAGATCAAAACGAAATCCATCTCCCGGCAAAACAGAATGCAAAACAGAATGTGAATTAATTTCGGGGGCTACTTTTCAAGCTTGCTTGCATGAAAATAACACTCGTTAATTTGTTTTGCATTGAACTCTATGCAAATTTTGGGGGCTCTTTTATGACTTTCGGGGGCTCTTTTTGGCATTTCGGGGGCTAATTCGCCCCGAGCCCCCGTGTATTTTTTTCACTGACTATGATCATCAAGGGGCACAATACTTTGCTGATCTGTTTGCCCAACATTTATAAAATGACAATTAAAATAATCAGCAATTTCTATTTCATCATTAATCATTTTATTTTCTATTTCAATTTGGGGTATTTTCACATAATTAGCCTATATTTTTATGGTATTAAGCATGTCTGGCTGTTGTTGTTAATTCTTTGTTAGATTTACTGTGGAAGGCCCCCGAGGTATGGGAGCCACAAGGGACGCAGAAAGGTGATGTCTACTCCTTTGGGATCATTCTCTATGAGATAGCCCATAGACAGGGGCCCTTCGGGAACTGCGAGCTCAGCCCAAAAGGTAACGAAACAAATCAAACGCGATCGAAACTATTTCAATACCCTATTAAATGTCCCTTAGAAATGATCTTCGGATGCCCACGTGAAAGTGCATGAAATCGTAACTTACAATGGCATTGGATTAAAAAGTATTGTATATAATCATCATTTAAAGGTAACAAGTAATAATGTTTTGGAACCTAAGGCACTGTATAGTAATCATGAAAGTAATAACAAACGGGAATGTATGGAAATGATTTCGTGTTAAAGCTATAGATCATAGAATATATTATTAAAGCTAGAAATCTACAATAGAATGAGTTACTTTCGTTCATATCTTATGATTATTAATAGTCATGTGAAATTACATCTTTATACAAAAAGTCTTGTGGAAAGGTTTCCATACTACTGTTTTGTATTACTCTTTTTGTTGTTTTGGTGAACGCAATATTGGAATGAACTATTAAAGATACTCTACCATGAACTTTTTTTTCTCGAGAGGTCGGTCTTGTAATTTCTTCCTCTTATAGTGTTTCCCTTTCAACGTAAAATGAAGCTTCTAATTTTGTATTTTATATATTTTGAAGAAATCTACGAGAAGGTGAAAACCCTGGGAGAAACGATTCCCTTACGACCCAATGTGATGGAGATAGAGAATGGTCACGAATGTCTCCTGACCGTCATGCAGGAGTGTTGGGTAGAGGATCCCGAGGCCAGACCAGACTTCAAGACGATTGCAAACAAACTCAAGCCTCTCCATAAAGGAATGTAAGTTTAAAAGCAGTAACACATGAAGCCCACCGCACACCATACGATCCTCCTGCGTTCCGTATTTTCGAAGAAATGGCAATTATATTAGACCAACAACCCCTATGACGACTACCCCGGACAACTACCCCAAACACCTACCCCCTAGGAGAACTACCCCCGGACAACTACCCCCCCCCCCCCCCAGACAACTACCCCCTAGGATAGCTGTCCGGGGTAGTTGTTCTAGAGGATGGTTGTCGTAGAGGGTAGTTGTCTGGGGTAGTTGTCCGGGTGGTAGTTGTCTGGACTCTGGGGTAGTTGTCCTAGGAGGTAGTTTGCCGGTGGGTAGTTGTCCGTGGGTAGTTGTCCTAGAGGATGGTTGTCGTAGGGGGTAGTTGTCTGGGGTAGTTGTCCTAGGGGGTAGTTGACCGGGGTGGCTATCTGGGGGTGGTTATCTGGGAGTGGATGTCCAGGGGGAAGGTGTCCTAGAACTACCGATTTTATTGCATGGCCATTCGGGGCAAGGTGATATCTTGTTCGGTCTGTGATCGGTCTGGTGTTGGTCTCATTGTTATAACTGTGGCTTAATTGATGTTACTGAGGTAAATATATGAATCTTGATAAATGAACCTCCCATTATTAAGAAACTTACTATTGTTGAAAATCACAGTGGGAAGTATTGGTCCTTCTTCTTGTTCTTCTTATACTTTTCTCCCTTTTTTTCTTCCTCTTCCTCCGTCTCCTCCACCTCTTCCTCCTCCTCCTCCTTCTCCTTCACTCTTTCTCGTTAGAACTAAGCTTGAAATACTACATGGTCTAACAGGTCAATTCATTTTCCGTTAACTGTAACCTTATGAATTAGAAGTCATGTATGACAGTGAAATAAATATATACATCGTGTTTTTATTCTGGTTTCTTGCACTGCCTCTTGTCTTCATCCACATCCACAGGAAATCGGACATCCTAGATAACATGGTGATGATTATGGAGAAGTATGCCAACAACTTAGAGGAGATCGTCGAAGACAGAACCCAGCAGCTAGTAGAGGAAAAGAAGAAGACGGAAAATCTATTACATAGAATGTTGCCAAAGTAAGTTCCGTCGGGCGTATTTTAATAACAGGATTCAGTTAAACATTTTTTGAAACCTCCATGAAATCAAACTTTTGAATATAAATTTTGTTTCTAAATTGCGAATACAATGCCCCTTCCTTTACAGATTACAATGATGTGTAAATAACATATATATTTACATTACATCTAAGGGGGGAAAATAAACGATTAGGTTTGTACGAAGTCGAAATCCAATGAAAATAAATTGTTTCTTAAATGTTCTCCTCTTTGTAGTTTGTGATAGCGCCATCAATCGCGTATGGTCGACATTTTTTGTTTGTTTAGGGGCGGGGGAGGGGGCATCTGACAAAGTCTATAATCTTGACATGCCGACAGGAATTAGCTGGATTCACAGTCTTGAGAACGTTGTGCCAAAAATCCATGATGCATAGCGACATAAGACAAATGATAAGTAGACTATAAACTGATGTTTCTAGAAACGTAATGACTACCTCTCCTGAAACTTCTCTTGAATAAATACCATTATTATTATTATAAACAATGTTAAATTTAAATATCGTCTTGCTTCAGACCAGTAGCAAATCAGCTGAAGCGTGGCATGCAGGTTGTGCCCGAGTCGTTCGATTGCGTCACTATCTTCTTCAGCGACATCGTCGGCTTCACAAAGCTGTCATCGATGAGCACGCCTTTCCAGGTACATATGGGACTCGTTCACAAAGCCTTTTTTCAATGACAAATGACAAAAATCAGTGACAAATCTGTTGATAACCAATCAGAAGCAAGGATTTCAGTAGCTTATAACAAAAACTGTCATTTTTCACTGATGACAAGTTTTGTGAAACGCCCCCCTGGGCATCGTTTCACGGAATCGTCCCAAGTACAAGTTCGCGAACATCCCAATGACGCGCGTGTTGATTTGAATACATGCGTGTCAATGGGATGCTTCGCTAACGTGTATGTATGACGGTTTCGTGCAATGCTGGCCTTGGTTTTTTTTAAAGTATTTTTAAAGACAAAAATTAACAATCCAAAGGAATGTAAGTAAATCTGAGAAGTGAACATTTTAACTATTTTATCATTGTATTTGTTTAGCTCTAGAATCAGTGGAGGTTTTAACGTTAGGGCCAAGTCAGCCATGGTCTCTTTTTGATGGCGGCTTGGAACAATAAAAAAAAAAGGAAGAAGAAAAAAAGAGAAAAGGAGAAGAAGAGAGGAACAGGAAAAAGAAAGAAAAGGGGGAAGAAACGGAGAAATATACTAATAAAACTACTGTACTACTACTCCGTGTAACGGGTCGGGAACGTATTAGATAGGATGAAAACCAAATCCCAGCTCAAGTTATGCCTATTGCCTGTATCAACGTATACATCACTGGCTAGATCCGAGGGAGGGGGCGAATAAGCCGCGGCCCTCCTCTTTTTGGCAACCTAAAACAATAGAAATGGGGAAATGGGGAAAAGAGAGAACGATGGAAGGAAAAATGAAAAGAGAAAGAGAGAATAATGTAAAAGAGAAGAAGAGAGTGTGAAGGAAAAGGAGAGAGAGAGAGAAAGAAGAAAAGAACAAAGGAAGTTAAATTTACATATACTAAGAAGTCTGATGAGGAAAAAACAACAATACGAAAACAAAAGTTCTATAAAATTTTGTTTAAGAGAGTTATTTCTCAAATGAAATGAAAGGGGCTATGTGACTTTCAAGGAGGACATTACAATTTCTATCGATCGTGACGACTATTCTGAATTTCCTAATTTAAACAAAAATCAAGAACTTCAGAGCCCCAAGACTCTGGGCAGACGCTCTCCCCTGCACCCCATTCGTAAAGATAGAAGTAGTTTTCCAAGACATCCTTTTATTGTATACAATTCGAGAGAGTACGAGCTTTATGTAGTTAAAACTTCTAAAGCAGGGCTCCCACTTAGCCAAGTTGGAGCAACGAGTTGTGGCGAGCTGGCACGATCTTATGGCAAGCAGTTTTATCATTAAAACACATTTCTTGATATCACGAAATCGAATTCTTGATATCACGAATTCAATCCTTTATATCAAGAAATACCATTACTTTACAACGTAAAATTATTTCTTGATATCAAGAAATATGTATCAATGATAAAACGGCTTGCCATAAGATCGAGCCAGCTCGCTACAACTCGAGGCTCCAACTCGGCTATTAAGTGGAACCCTGCTTTACATCCACTATCGTGGACCTCTTATTATTTACAAAATTTCTTGCTGTCTGCTGCCTCGAGATCACTGGAGCGAAGGAATATAGCAAGCATCCCTATTCAGTACAGTATTACTCCTTTTTACGCAGATGGAATCTTCAACCATTCAAACTCAATCATGTGGGCATCATCCCATGGAATGTTTTGTTCAGTATTAAGGACGTGTTTTGCTACTTTCTGCCTAATCTGAGGTCTCTTTTTGTACTCTTTTAAAAAGAGCACACAATGGGGCAGGGGGAACAGTACAATTTAAATATCAAGGGATGGATTAGCCTTTATATCTAGAAAATGAAAGGGCTACATAGAGCGATAAAAATGCTAATCCAAAGATAAAAATGCTAATCCATCCCTTGAAATTTAAATTACACTGCCCCAATTGAGTGCTCCTTTCAAAGAGCACAGAAAGCCCTCAGATTGAACATTCTATCTCATAATATTATCTTTAAGTGAAAAAGAGAGGCTATTTCTAAAATGAAATGAAAGGGCTATTTCACTTTCAAGAGCCTTTTCATTTCGTTTTCGAAATATCCTCTCTTTCTCTCTTAAAGACAATTTCTCTCTTGAAAGTCAAATTAACTTGAGAGCATCCTGGGGCTCCGCCCTGGAACCCCCGACAGTGGCTCTGCAATGATAGTACGGATCCATTTAAATAGAAAGCAAAATAAGCCCGCTCAATAATGTATATATATATATATATATATATATATATATATAATATACACGTCGTAGTGATTCATCCGAATAAATAGTCCACGTAAAGGGCATTTCGAAAGTTTTAAGAAAATTCTTTAAATTCCAGGAAACTGAGCATACCAGGAAACGCACTGGCGGCTATAATTTTTTTAAAACTGTAACAATTCTCTTTGGATCAGAGATAGACCAAAAACAAGCCTCATTATCTTCAGTACACAAGTTTCATTTCAGACCTAACAACTTTCATAGAAATCACTTTTGAACTGTCAAAGAAAAATTTTGAGAACCCCTGCCCTATTGGATATCCTATAGAAATCATATTCGGATTACGTCATTGTCATGTCGTACATTTCAATAGGTGACACACAAGGCCATTGACATTGCATTGCCTTACATGTTGATTTTACGAGAGTAGTTGTGATCTTGCTTTGCATTTCTAGGAAGAAAAACAATATTATTCCACATATTGCAACATCGAATTTCATCCTGGCTTCCTCCATTCCATTCCCTCGTTGAACAGGTGGTTGATCTCCTCAACGACCTCTACACTCTATTCGATGACATCATCAGTTACTACAACGTTTACAAAGTCGAGACCATCGGCGATGCCTACATGCTTGTCTCGGGGCTGCCCATTCGAAACGATAATCGACACGCGGCCGAGATCGGCTCGACGGCACTCCATCTCATCGACGAAGTGCAGAAGTTCAAAATCCGACATCGCCCCGACGACACGCTCAAGTTGAGAGTAGGCATTCATTCCGGTGAGTTGGTTTTTAAATCCGTTGTAAACATGCTTTTGTGTTCAGCTTTCCTAAAGCATATTAATCACCCAAACATGTTATGCTCCTGATGTATGAGATTCGATTCTAGGACACCTACCCCCTGGACCCCCCCCCCCCCAACCACGATAACCACCCTCTAGGACAACCACCCTCTAGGACAACTAGCCCTAGGACAACTACCACCCGGACAACTACCCCCCGACATCTACCCCTAGAACAACCACATCCAGGATAACTAGCACCCGGACTACTACCCCCAGACAACTACCCCTAGAACAACTACCCTCCAGGACAACTAGCACCCGGACAACTACCCCCAGCCAACTACCCCCGGACAACTACCCCCAGACAACTACCCCTAGAACAACTACCCTCCAGGACAACTAGCACCCGGACAACTACCCCCAGCCAACTACCCCCGGACAACTATTCACCAGACAACTACCCCTAGGACAACTGCCCCTAGGACAACTACCCCCCAGACAACTACCCCCAGACAACTACCCCCTACAATAACCATCCTCTAGGACAACTACCCCCGGACAACTATCCTAGTTATAATAGACTACATGACATAGACTACATGACATGACTAGAAATCAATTATATGGAATCAATATAGGTTCCTTATAGTACAGAGCGTATCCAAACACCTACCCCTAGACATCTAACCCCGGATAACCACCCCTAGGATAACTACCCTCTATGACAAATACCCCCTAGGGCAACCACCCTCTAGGACGACTACCCCCCCCCCCCCCTAGGGAATATAGTAATCCTTACAAACCTTTATTTCCTAATCTTAAAAATAAAAGTTAATTTCTCTTTTTCTTGTTTTCTTTCTTTCCTCCTCTGGAAACGAATAAACCCAGGCCCGGTGGTGACTGGTGTGGTAGGTCTAACAATGCCTCGGTACTGCTTGTTTGGTGATACCGTCAACACATCATCCAGGATGGAATCGAATGGAGAAGGTTTGTTTAAATTTAATACTTTTTTTTCTTTTCTTTTACCGAAAGTTAACGTTAAGCTCTAGTACAAAAATACGATTTCTTTGTGAAATGAAATGTCTAGAAGTTATTGAAAGTGGCTCAGTATGTAGTTTCCAAAGGTTGGCTGTATATTTTGAAGTTTTGGACTCATCAATGAAGTAACACATTTTACTGACAAATATACTAGTAAAAGGCGCTAAATACATGCGTATCTGGGACGATACACACAGAAGTTATGAAGTATCAAAATTTGGTCTAAGGTTTTGAACTTTTGTGATCCACATTTGGATATGGGGGCATTTCAAAAGCTATTCCTTTTTTGTAAGATTACTGCAGCTATGCTTTTATTTCATAAAGAACAGCAACAATTGTGAAAGTTTCGTTCACAGTTTTTTTTCCTTCAGTATGACAAGAACTCAACCTTCTCTTTCGTCTAATTTCATTAATAAAACAAATACGTATGCTCAATCTTTATCGTGCAACAGTTTATCATGCTCATAGTTTTGAAATGATTGGCGGAGGCCCATAACGTGCTGACCGTATATTGTAGCTAGAGAGATTAATAACCATATTTTGATAATGAGGTCTCAGATAATACTGTCCTTTGCTCATAAGGCTGCACATAAAAAGGAATATGTGAAGGTCTAGGTTTGGGTTACAAAATGAGGTGCTGTGATTCAAAAGGTTGCTTATTGCTGGGCCCCGTCTTACAAAGAGTTGATATCAATCATAACTTATTGCGATTGATATCAATCGTAACTATGTACTTAAGAGATAGGAGACTGCAAACGTGCGGTTGATTGGAGGACTTACGATTGATTTGGATCGATCGTAACTCTTTGTAAGACGGGGCCCTGTTGTACATATTCGATTTCCATATTTTCGGAATACAAAAAAAGTAATATTTTCCATTGTCAATAAACCACTGACGCTCAGCTCGATTATTTTACCCGCAGCCTTGAAAATCCACTGCAGCGCCGAGTGCAAAGCTATTTTAGACGAGGTCGGAGGTTATGACGTACCAGAGAGAGGCATAGTCGCCATGAAAGGAAAAGGATCACTTCTAACATACTGGCTTGTGGATCAGGATCCTTCTTACAAGCGATTTAAGCCAAGGAGTGAAGACGTAGAGGAAGCCGTCGAGGATACGGATAGTCTGAGCGAAAAGCATAAGATGAAGAAGAGTCCAGGGAAAAGCTACTTGCGGACGCCTCTAGGGTCAACCTATATGGCGCCCTCTACGTCCACACCTACTACCGGCATGAAATCCTCGCGTAGCGTACAGGATATCAGCAGCTCGAACTTGAGGGAAGATGCTCAGTTGAGGAGAGACTCGGATGTGGTAACGCGGAGACGCAACAGCGATATCTCGAGGACCGAACTACCTAAAAACGGCAAGAACGGATATACCCTGCTCCCCATGGATTGTGATGATTCACTGCCGTGCTCCAAGAGTGAAGAGGTAGAGATCAGGACAACGGACTTCGGGGATGGCAGTGGCGATTGCTCCAGTCAGGCTCGCAGTGTTTCTGCTTGTTCGCTGAATAGGTGTGAGGTAGTTGGGGAAGAGGCAACAATGAACGGCGCTGTCTCGCAACGCTCAAGGAACAATTCCCAAGGAAGCAAGACCAAGACCAAAAAGAACAGCACAACGGATTCAGGCATCGGGAGCAACGGGAACAGCTCGCGGGACTGCAACATGCATAATGAAATTTTCCTTTGAGATTCGGCGCGGCTGTTTCTATTTATTGTCATGGTGCCTATAATTCTAAACATGAGGACAACTGAGAACGTTGACGGATATACCAATGAACCCTATGAAGTATACGGGCACAGACTTCAATACAGACTGCGGCTAGGACAAAAAAAAACAATCGCAGAAAACGTTGAAACCCGTTTACTTTCATGAATAGAAAAGACTATTAACCCATCCATTTCCCCCTGGAGAAATGTTTGAACTTTGCTATCAGAGTCACCCTTTTGTTATACAGTACTATGGAAACAAGCGGTGTCTGGATTGTTTATATTTGCTTGTTTGCTCCATGTTGTGATTCGACCATCCATCGATATAGACGCGTGCCATGTTACCTTGTTTTCCCGTTTTTAGCACTTTATTGTAAAGTTTTCACAATCCTACGGAACTCTCCGTTGTCGTTTTAGTGATTTCATTTGTTTACAATTTGAAATGCGTATAATATTATCACGTACATATTTGTTTATTATATTGAAAACTTCCGTTATTAGACGTAAAACTTGAAGGTGGAATATTGAAGTTAGTGTGATTCGTACGCGTCGAATTGGGAGTGCGTAATATGCATTACTAGTATATAGCAGTTTTATAGTCCCTTTGAAGTTCGAGTCATGCAATGAACTTAACCTTAGACATGACATCGAAGAAAAAAAAGAGATCCCACTTTAGTTTTTATTCAAATATAAAAATAACATTATATACATGCATGTAGTAGGACGGGGTCACTGAACTCTAAATTGTCTTGTGTACGTCAATGGCTACCATGATTTACTAAATCAAACAAATCTTGGGATTGAAAGTGTCACAATCGCCTGGAAAAAATAAGTTTGTGTACAGCAAAAACGTATATAATCTGCCTTAAAAATTACACGGCATTTTATAAGCATGATTAGGTTAACAAACAAGTCGTATGAATAAACGAAGGATAAAAAAAAAACCTTGTACACAACTAAGGTCTGGCCATTCATGTAGCTCACTGAAAAAGATATCGATAAAATCTATGCAGAAATTAATCATGTTAGGATAACGAAAACTATATAGAAACAAAACTGCCTTCATACCTTCTTCTACCACTGTTGTGATATTAAAGTGGTACAATTATTGGCCCTAACAAACATTAAATAATGATCAAGAAAGTAGTAACCGCAAGATCCCAACGAGACTATAAGAATTGTCTCGTTGAGGGCGGCTCCTTATGGACTGACCCAGAGCCATCTTTACACAGAGTTTGGCCAACCCGGTTCGAGTTGGACGCAATAATGGCGACTACTGCTTTGTTGGGCAAGCACAAAACAAAAGAATATACGCCATGTTGTGACCCAGGGAAACCAAGTTGGCCAAACTCTGCGTTTAGATGGCTCTGGTCTGACCCGCAAGAACGATTTCCACATAAACAGCAAGGAAGGGATTTGGGAACGATGTTAGTTTTCATTTTCGTCGTAGATAGGACCAACCATTAACTTGATATTCTGTGTTAATATGTAAATCGAAAATATGACAATGGGGTGTTCATTCCTTTAGAAGCATGTCGCAAGACGACCAAACAAAAGATGACGATAATTGATTTTGGATAGCAAATTGATGATTGACTGTGACAAAAGTTCAAAATTATTTTTTTTAAATATGAAACCATTTTACAGCTTTAAGGTAGGGCCTATTGGCTTTATTTTGATAATTGGGTTTGTAATAAGGCTCATGCATGAAGCGTAATATGCAGGTTGTTTCTAATACATTCTGTGCCAATAGTAAGTTTAATCATTGTTAGACGTTGACATTAATTGTATCGTTAACTATTCGCATGATAAATCTTCAGTGAGACACATTTTCAAAGATTTTACCTCTTTTGTTTCAGCAAGTAGTGGATATATGGTCAAACATATAGGCGTGTATTTAGTCATTTATTTATTAGTTATTCCTCTTTCATTATCCATCAGAGCCGTAAGGCTTGATTTTCAAGAGAGCCATGAAGACAAGTGACAAAGTACATGGTAAAAATTACAACAACAACAATTAAAAGCATATACACAATACATAATACACAACTATTTACTACTAATGTACGTTTATAACACAGAACACGTTTCAGTTTGAAAAGACGACCTACATAAAATAAAAGCTTGGTTAAAATGAGCCAAATAAAGCAAGGGCGTATAACTTTTTGTTTATTTGTTTGTTTGTTTTATTCACCATGTAAAACTAATTGTTTAGAGATAATAAATTCAGTGGGTTACATCGAGATATAATACATAGTAGGAACAGTGCATAAAGATGAAATGTTTGAAGCGCAACGTCCCTAAGGTAACATAGCTGATAATTATCAGGTCAAGATAGAACATAACTTAACATAAGACATTCTGTCGTTACAAATTAGAACAAAATACAAAATAAATGCTTGAATCAAAATTGTATTTATCAAATAAAACAGGTTCACATAATTTTATATACTTGCACTGATACGATAAACTCAAATAAGATATAAAACGCATGAAAGGATTTTAAATCAAGTCAGACTGAAGAGTTTAAAGAAAAGTGTGGTTAAAAAGAAAACGCCAGATTAAAGTATATAGATAGCACAAAAGAAAGACGATATAGCACACAATGGATTGTTTAACAAGACTAAAAGATAATAATACAACAAAAATAAGCAAAAGTCAGCCTTCGTTGAAAGTAGAGAAATCCTTTATAATTATATATATACTGTTTAAAAAGAAGTGACTGATAGTGTCGGGTTTGATTTTTGAAAAATTGCAAAGATGATGATAATTGAATAGGAAGTGGTAATTTCTTAAACTGTGAACTTGCAAAGTAAGAAAACGAGCGTTTTTAAAAATCAGTTCGGCGTTTGGGTATAGATAATGCGCTATTGCACTCAAACAAAAGACGATGTTTGTTCAAATAGTAATACAGTTGTGAGTTAACAGCTTTTTCCAATATTTTAGAAACGGATGACAAAAGTGAAATAGGTCTGAATTTTGTTATTTGAATTGATCGTTTACTTTTAGCGATTGGAATAATTTTAGCGAGTTGTAGGTCTTTTGGAAAGTGGCCGGTCTGCCATAATCGGTTTAATAGGTAGGTTAAAGGCTGTGATATGAAAGGAGCACCCAGTTTTAGTACTTAACTCTTTCAGTACAAACTCAAACTCAATGTTACCAAATTTGAAAGAAAAAGCTGTTTGTGACAAAGTTTCAATGAAATTCGTATCATCCGTTATGTTAAAACTAGAAGCCGCCGACATTACTTAACATTTCATAGCATTTGTTAGCTATAATGTTTTTATCAGAAATTACTTCTTGCTTAATAACAAAATGCCTTTCTTCCTGAGACTTTTTGCTTGGAAGTAAATCATTCATCACCTTCCAAGTTTCCCGAAAATCGTTCCTGCTTTCCGTGAGCTTCGTTCTAAAATAAAACCTTTTCAATTTTGTATTCAAATTGTTCTTTTTGTTTCTAAAGCAAGTATATTTTTCCCAGTGCAACTTCGTGGTTTGTGTATATTGAACAGGTTGCTGAAGATTAGGTTGATAATTGGATTCCGGTATCTTAGCTTTAATTGGGTCGAACTTCTTTTTGTCGAAGTCCCTCTCTCGGGCTAAAGCCGAGTATTCATCGTTAATCCAGGGAGAACCATTCATCTTTCTCCTCATAGAAAATGAACGGAGCGTGTTTGTTACTAAGCTAAAGCATTAACGACGAAAATAGTTTCCATGATTGGTCGACATTGTCTTTTAAACAGAAGACTGAATCCCAATCAATTGATGCAAGGCCATTTTGAAAGTCGTTTTCGTTCAAGGACCTTAACGTTCTAAAAGAAGAGATTTTGGGCGTTAACTTTGGATGATGTGATTTTGTGACCAAGTAATCTAAAGAATGGTCTCGTAATCCAACTGATTGAACTCCAGTGTTCAATGGATCAATAATATCGTGTTGGAAACACATATTAGATTTATCAACGAGGTGCTGTTTGGAGTAAATGCGAGTAGATTGTTGAACAAGCTGAGTAAATCATAAAGAAGTACACAATTCAGTCAGTTATTTGAAAATGGATTTGATGTAAGCATGTTACATTTAAAGTCCCCCGCTAATATAATTCTGTCCGAAAAAGAAAGAACACGATCTAAAACACAGTAATTTTTACAGGATGATGATGTTGACACGTAACTTTAAACAAAATCATTATAATCAAATTCCCCAACTCACTTGAACCAGGAATAAGTTACCTTCTTCTTCTTGATTTCCTCCAGGGGCCCGCTTCATAAGCCTTTTTTCAATGACAATTGACAAAAATCAGTGACAAATCTGTTGACAACCAATCAGAAGCAATCATTTCAGTAGCTTATAACAAATACTGTCATTTGTCACTGATGACAAGTTTTGTGAAACGCCCCCTGGTTTTTATGTAATTGCGGAGTTGTAACCTTCGCAGATTGAGTCAACAGAGAATAGGCAGACTATATGAAATAAAAAGTCATGACTTGTAATAGGGGTACATACATGTAGAAGATCCCAATATGGCATTAATGTGCAGGAGCTGCTTTGTTCACAAAAGATCGTACCATCGGCCAAAGAGTTCATCGCCAACTAGCATCATTGATCGCTAATTTCTAGCTATTAAACTTGACGTTCATCAATAAAGAAAATACAAATCATATTTTGAATCAGACTTTCAATTTAATAATAACTAAAAACAAAACGATCGACTTCTGTACTGATTATGCATGAAATGGTCAGGCCTCAATTTTTCGTAAAGACCAATGTTTGAGCATGTTAGGAGAAAAATTGAGAGTGTGTGCATATACGATATATAATATTTGATTCACCGGGCTCAATTTTAATCCCATTTTGCTGTCCATACGTGTGATTTCAGTGCAGTGGCGGATCCGGGATTCTGTGGCTGGGTACAGGGGCACATACCTGAAAAGAAAAAAAGGAAAACAAAAGGAAGAGAAAAAGAAAAAGAAAAAGATAAAATACCGGTGGGATGGACATTTAGATTGTACACTCAATTCGTACTTAACCCTTTGCTTACGGGAGCCAAGTGTTCCCTATGTTAAGCCTATGGAACCTATACAATTCAGTAGTCAACCGGTTCAGATATACTGGATAAAGGTTTGCCGGGAAGCATGGGCCTATTTCACCACCCCTCCCTCCCTCGCCGTGCAATCAGCTACATGCTTTCCTAAATATCAAGATGTCTCACAAGTACCAAAAAAAAAAGACAATTTTGTGTTCAAGTGTATTCCAATTTATACATGTTTCCTGTAGCAACGATGTATCATATTTACATGATATACAATTGTTTTTTAATAGTCAGAATGCGAATTGCATACAATATGGCTTGCGGTACAAAACAATGGGGGATTTATGCAATTGTCATTCTGACTATTGAAATCCAATTAATCGTAGCAGGTCAATGAAATAATCGTAACGAGGCGCTTAGTATGAAGGACCTCTGTATTAAATGTGCTTGCATACGTAGATAAACTACAGATGTATTATGAAATTTCGATATCATACGATATATTAACATGATTTCAGTGTGCTTAACAAATGCAGAAGATAGTTTGTTTTAATCTGATTTACCAATGAACCGTAGTAAACGAAATTCTGTTGGATGTGTGCTGAAGAGACATGATCTTCATATGTATTGACCGTCTTGGTCGTCTTCAGGCCGGTATATAAATCTTAAGGGGGTAATAGCAAACAACGACACTGATTTCAGAAACAAATTGCATTTATTTTGTCATGATTCACAGAGATACTCCCACTTGTATTGTGGTGACGTGTGAATCAAAGGCGGATCCAGAGGGTAGCAGAATAGCCCCCCCCCCCCCCCCCCCATTGGAAAAAAAGGGTCTTTTCGAGAAAGAAGTTGTTTCTTCTTTCCATTTTGGGACCTGTAGGCTGTGAGAAAAGTAATTAGGGCCTATCTATCGGGTTCAATTTGAGTGTTGAGTTTGTAATAAGGCCCCAGCATAAATCTTAATCTGAAGCTAAGTTTGTCTATCACACATTCTGAGCCACTAGTAAGTGTAATCATCCTTTAATAGACTTTGAATTTTTTTTCATCGTGGACGATTCGCATGATAAATTTTCAATTTATTCTTTTTTTTTGGGGGGGGGGAATAAATCAACAAAATCGGGAAATTATGTTATTGCTTTGCTCCTCACTCTCCTCACTCACCTTCCCTAACAAAAAGAACCACGAGAAGGCTGGCGAGATCCCGATTTTAGTCTCCCGGAAAGCAAAACAAAAATGTATATCTAAAACGGAAGTCACCCCTTCCCCCCTTTTACGCAATCCTGGACCCGCTTCTATATGAATATGTATATCATGCACTGTAGCAAGAGGACCGATAACCGAAATAGCCGCCGTAAAATGTGACTGGCATTTCCACATTCTTGCCTTATTATTTAGCTAATCTGTTTTAAGCAGGAGAAGTATGTGTTTACATATTGTCTATTTAAATCCTCAAAATGTATACATTAACGCTACCTTAATATCAATTAGAAATAATACCTTAAATGGAATATACATTCAATTCAGCCGTAAATGAACAGTAAACTTTCAAAGATGTCAAGGTATGATGTTATTATAATGTAAACATAAATCGTCATTGAAGAGTGATGAACGATATGACTAGATTTATAGCATCCATTACAAATGGGTAGTTGGTGTCGATCGACACGAATATATTGAGTTTTAATGTATTATATTGTTGCAGAGTGTTGCTTAGTTATATGAAAGTAAATTATTATCTCCTTGATTGTGATTTGTATTGTAAACATTTCAAGGGGACCTACAAAGTCTTCAAATTCTATTATCTAATTTTTGTTATAATGTACATGATTCAATTAAATGGACTACATATAATTCATGATATAACCTTGCAAGTACATTGTTGCTTTTTCGGTGTATGATTTTCTGATTTCTATAAGACTCCGCATAATTTCAATCTAGTTTAATCTTTATCTAATACATTGATTTCAATATTTTTCATTTCATTTTATTTCATGTTGATTGATCCATGGTAATACAGCTGTACATAGAAATTGTGTTTCCATTGACTTTGTGCTAAGGTACAATAACTTTACGATTACAAGCACATATAACCTAAAGTGAACCACACTAACGTTTTACAATTGTTATATATTTGCCTAAATGCATATCATTATTTGGTTCTATGACAATTACCCCCTGGGTAATCACCCCCGGAAAACTACCCCCCCCCCCCCCCCCGGGACAATTTATGCAACACCAGAGCGGTTGTTGTTTTCCATGAAGGATGTAAGTTTTAGGTTATTGTCCAGCGCGTCTCAAAATGCTGGAGCAGCATTAGTTCGACAAATTCTTCACAGACTATAGTTATTTTGCATCACTCTGGCAATCGCCAAGTACTATGCACACACGTATGGGCACATTGTTTCTTAATTTAGCGAACGAGCAAGGATAAAAGAGAAGACATTTTAAAAATGGTAAAAAATAGTTTTTAATCAACACACTAGTAAAGATTCAAAATACTGTATGCGGACAGCTCGCCGCCGAATGTACATGTACATGAATAAAAAGTGATATGTTCGGTCATGACCTTTCTACACGAATATGGGGCATATTTGGGCCTCTCATTGCCTTATTTATCATGTTTCTAAATGTAATAAGTGTGGTCATAAATAACAAAACATATACGATATTTTGGGATATAGCCTGCCGAGCTACTTGCACGTAGACAGGGCATTTATTACACTTAAATTCACAACACTGAACTCGATCATTGTCCAAAGTATGAAAACAACTTCTTAAAAAAACGTGTCTGAGAGTTATACATGCATAATATTTTTATGCCTCTTAACATTAATCACGTGAAAACATATTTGATGTAACTGTTATGACCCAACCCTAATTATGCCCGGGTTTAAAAAACGGAGATAAAACTGAATCAGCACTAAACTCTGAAAAGACCCTATGGCCACCGCAACCTAAACTTTGATGCAGCAATCTCCTATAAAGTATCATTATTTAGCTCACCCTTAAAAATAAAACTACATATTAAAAAAACGTGCTAGTATGCGGTCCTTGGAAAGCTAGAATAGGGACTTTTAGATTTGCACGACGATAACGTGGACTGATCCTTTTAAGGCACTGGCAGCCCGGCAGTGCCTTAAAATGACGTCACATTGCCTTAAAAGGATGTCACACGTGGCAGACCACGTTCTCGTCGTGCAAATCTAAAAATCCCTATTGACTTCCCTTATACGCCGCACCCTTATTTCACATCCGGGGCCCTCTTTTCATATTCAAATTAAACAGCATCGGGCATCGACGCACGGATAACAATTAATGTTCCCACTTAGTGCCGTATAAACAACATTTGCCAGCTATAACGCTGGCAAATACATGTCTGTATTTCTAAATAAAGAGGGGATGTACATTTATAAGATTATTAGGTGGGTTTAATACCCAAATATCGACTTCAAAATTTGAGTAGGGCTGCAGCTTTCTCAGAACCCCGCATCGTATATACATTCCCATAAACACACACACACATTCACACAAAATGTAACTTTTTTAATACTTGAAAACATAATTATCATTCTTTGATGTACAGCACATAGTTGACACAAAGGGGATGCTTTTAGAATAGTTGAAAACACCGTGCTTTCTGTGAGAGGGAATGACCCTGATCCCCGACCCATACACACATGCAAACATCCAGGACGTAGATAAGGGGGCATGTGAATATGTGCACCCCTCCCCCCCCCCCCCCCTCCCCCAACCATCACATGATAAGAAAATATACAGAAAGGTGAAAGTGGAGAGGAGGAAATGTAACGTAAAATGAATATGCTATCTTCCCCACACCCTCCCATTGTAACTTCGCATTTTATCCATCGGGTAAGATTGATCCCCTCCCCCACCTCACCCTCCCCCCCCCCCCCCTCCTACTAAACCTGAGCCCCTCAATGCCTGGACCCACGTTACGCCATTTTACGCACTTTCCGGCCGTTTTTATTAGACCCTATACTCGTAATGTAAAAGGGTTTTGCAGCCATGTTATTTTTCACGGTATATCTAAGTGTGTTTTTCGGGGAAAAACTTGACAAAGTTACTCCCTGTGGATAAATTTCCTAATTTGCGGGTCCTAGTTTTAGTTACTTATGACAAACAAATTATGAAAAGCAAAACATTAAGGTAAAATACAGGAATAACATAAAGAGGTCTCAAGGTTTTGAACAGTTGAAATGTTGTTAAATTACATCTCACAAACAACTGTATAAAATAATTTAAAATAAGTAGACACACGGAGAGATTGTGGGACATGTCGAACACTCCTCTGCAGACCCTTGTGTCAGATGCAAGGATTTTATACGAAATCTATCAGAACAGACGCAGGCCGGTTGTGGTCATGGTTTTAAAAGTAGAAAGTTTGGGTCATTTTGTCGGTTGTCCGACATTTGCTCCTGCTAAAATTGCCTTGCATCAATTTCATACTCACACTTTGTTCTTGACTTCAATCCTTGACCCAACAATATATCTAACCGTTACCCTTAACCTAACCTTAAAGCCAAATGTAACTCTAACCCCGATCCCTCGTATGTGACTTAATAAAGACAGCCGCAAGGGACCATTTTCGTAATGTAACCAGATTTAATGCATAAGTCTTTGTGAAGTGCCTCAATACATATTATATCATTCGCCTCATAAGAATAACAACGTTTCAATAGTCAGAATGCAAAGTACATGTTGCTAGGTAGGTCAAGCCATATTGTTTGTCCTACCTGGCAACAACTTATGTATGCCGTTCGGATTTTGTCTATTGAAATACTATTATTCTTATCAGGTGAATGAAATTTTTTATTGAGGCACCTCACTATTAAAGACTTATGCATTAAATTTGGTTACATTACGAAACTGGCCTATTGGAGGAGGAGTACGCATCTTACAAATCGTACGGCGGCGCACAAATGCGGGGTTCGCCCTGATCTGGGCCTCTAATGGCGGCGGAAAGATTAAGTATGTAAGAAATAAGTAATGCATGGATCTCACATGAATACACAAGCAACCGGCACAAGGGAATGGACTTAAAGAGCTAGCGAGAATCATTCAACCATAATGGAAACTCTGATTGGACCACGGTGAATGGGATATACTGAGCTACTTTAAAAGGAGTATTTAATTCAGGTTATGCACGCTCTGGTGGTATGAGGTTTCAATAGGCCAGACGTTATAGGAAAGATTGCGATTGAAGACTCCCAAGAAAAGGGTAACAATGGAGCGATAAAATTGTTTCTCCCCTTTGAGTTAATGCTTTTTGTCATGCCTAATTATACCTCGGTGAGGCTCGGTCACACCGCCTAAACGATTCTATACCCCCTCCAAACTGAGCCCCATTTAAGCTTAATCCTATTTTGGTCCCGTACTGGCCAACAGTATGTAGACGCCTAAGTTTATTATTGCATTGTCATTCATTGTCGCGACATACTTGTAGTTAGCTTTTTATTCCTCCTTACTTTCTTTGGGTATTAGCTGCGAAGCTTATCTATTGGCCTCGTTGTCAGATTTGTTTTTAAAAAGAATAAATGAAGCGCAAACAAACTTTATTAAGCAAAAAAGCACCGAATCTCATTTGCATATCCTTTTCAATGCATTCCTTATCTGCCCTGAGGCGTACGATGTGTCTAAATTGTCTCCTTATTTGGTCAAAAACCCTGGACATAACTCTCGCTTGGGGGTCTTTGTCCAAGAAAGGGGTAGTACATTACTTGGTCCCCCACAGTATCATTTCACTCTCTACCAAGCAATCAAGCAGGTGGTGTCATCCAGTTCTCTTTCTCTTCTCTCTCTAACTCGGTAAGTTTTTTGCGATCATTGAATAAGTGTTGCTACCTTGTATTAGCCTTAAGGGCTTGGTGGTAATATGTTTATGATATTGATACCACCAATTATCAATTTCATAAAAATATTACCATCAAGCCCTTAAGGCTACCTTGTATTATATTTAAAGGGATCCGATAATTTTGTCTCAGATTCTGAAACAAAATCCTGGATTTCGCTCATGCTGCAATGATAATTATAAACCTTTTAGGTCAGTCAGGAACCCCATGACTTTGACAATCGAAACCACATTTTGCGTTTGCCAAACGGTTTTCACAACACTACAGTCTATTGGGGAAAACGAGTATGGTAAAACCGGTCACTCAAAGATTTTTACTTTTTTGAGGCACGCTTCTTAATAAATTTTAACGCGCGATTTGTTTAGGGCTTCAATACTACACCATATCACAGACTCTGATAACATGTAGGGCCGTGCATCTCAGATTTGGCGTTGTTAAACGATGCCTTTAATATTGATGCGATATGAGATTTGAGTTCAGCTCAAGTATTTATGTACTCATGGTTATTGACTAATTATTCAACGTGTACATAATACTGATTTAGTAAACTGTTTCGTGTTAGTTCCCACAACTTTGTTCGACATACAGTCGTACTGTCAGCTGAAGCCTGCTACCAGCAATATATACCTTAGACCAAACTGAATATATTTCATGCATATTCAAAATACTTTATTATTATCATTATACTTCAAGTGAACAAAACTGTGAAATGTGAAATATGATTGTAAACGAAACTGAATGACTGGCGGGTGCATGTATGAGCTCTGAAGGGGTCGTTTCGATGATACTTTATCCCTCCCTGGTGTAGCATATACACATTTAATTGGTTTCTTATTCAGCAGAATTCGGCTCTTGATTGTGTGTTAATGAATTGAGTGTGAGCCCCCACCCCTCCCCCAATGCTGTCCGTACGGCATTAGGAATTGCCCCGTGATTTCACCACGCCCTGACAGTGATGCGTTTTTGTTGCGATTCATTTCGGGCAGTTTGTTTTCACGAATATGCAAAGCCTTTATTTTGTAAAGACGTGATCAAAAGATGAAGAGTTATAGGTGTGAACATGAAAAGCTCAGCTGCCTTTTGGATATCCGAATGTGTGCATTTATTCAATGGCGGTCAATTATTGTACCATGATTCTGTTTTCAAAAGGGGTCTCCATACTAAAGTGGCCCTTAAATTGCTACTGTATTATCGTAATAGAAGTTCACTTTTGCGTAGGCACGCACTTTCATGCCTTTGATACACTTCGTTGTTGTTGTTGTTGTTGTTTGGTATTATCGGCGTTTCATTCTTTTTTAGAATATTTACGCCTTTCACTTTATTTCTCTTTTTTTTTCTTCTATATTTTGGTACTATTTGTAAATTCATACTCATCTCTCTTTTTTTTTTTTTTTTTTTGGATAATATAATCTCAGATCTACTGGTCCATGAAAACCCCTCACCGCAATTGGCACCTTCCTGCCAGACCGGCGCAGTACATTGCGCAATCTTCTCGGCCATCATTGGCCTAGGCAACTCTGGTGCCGGTGAGAGGATTCTGGGGTAGATCTCCAGAGTCTCTTGTTTGGGGTTTACCGTCCTCAATCCGTCTTCACTCTTTCTTACCTTTTCTCTTCTAGTATTTTTCCATTTTGTAAAACCTTATTTTTCTATCAAAGTAGGTATCAACATCTTAGGGCATTTGGTTGTCGTGCGATATGTGCAAAGTTTGGTTTTCGTGCGTTAGTCCAAAGTTTCGTTTTAATGTCAAAGCGATAGCAATTTTCTTGTCCCCTTTGTAGCGCTCAATCCACCAATAGGCGGTGTCATGAGCCATGTATTTTGAGGGGCTGAGCCAAGAAGTATTGACAAATTTCTTATGCGCCATCAACTCAATTCATGTGACTCGGGCATTAGGGATAGCTTTGATTTTAAGAATGTTAAAATGAGAATGTCAAATAGCCTAACGCTGGTTTGTGCAAGTAAGCATGAATCAATTCCAAGGTTACAGCTCAGTGGATTTTAATCAAGGTCAATAGATTACTAGTCAGGAGTTCAAATAGGACAGCAGATTTCACGGGGATAGAATTATTGGACATAATTCTCATCACAATTTGTCGTAATTCTTGTTGCTTGTATGAAAGTTTTTAAAACCTTTTCTCTGGGTTTGTTTCTCATATTTAGGACAGGAAAACGAAATTCAATCATCATGTGTGACGATGATGTTGCCGCTCTTGTCGTCGACAACGGGTCCGGAATGGTGAAGGCCGGATTCGCGGGAGACGATGCACCAAGGGCTGTCTTCCCATCCATCGTTGGCAGGCCCCGTCACCAGGGTGTCATGGTTGGTATGGGACAAAAGGACAGCTACGTTGGAGACGAAGCACAGAGCAAGAGAGGTATCCTCACCCTGAAGTACCCTATTGAGCACGGTATCGTCACCAACTGGGACGATATGGAGAAGATCTGGCATCACACCTTCTACAACGAGCTCCGTGTTGCCCCAGAGGAGCACCCCGTCCTTCTGACAGAGGCCCCCCTCAACCCTAAGGCCAACAGGGAAAAGATGACACAGGTAAGGATATAGTGCAGAATTGCAAAACATTCCTTAAAGATACTATGTCTCTTTTGCACCCAACATCAGATTCTGTAGAACTTTGCAGGAACTATGAATATGACTTGTCATGTATGTCTTATCTGTGAAATCTAAACATTAGCAGTGTCGTAAAATTCAAATTATGCAAGGAAACCCGTTTATCTTCTAGACTACACTGTCAGACACTATTGAGAGTCTTACTGACATCTATTTTTCTTCTTTTGTAATAACATACATATATTTAGCTTTAACAGGTACATGAGCATTTGTCTTAATTAATAACTCACTATTTGTAACGGCCAAAATTAAACTGATTGAATCTTTGTACAGAACAAAACGTACGACCATTCGGTGAAAGGGTCTGAAAATGAAACTATTACTTAGGTGATCGCAATCACTTATGTCTATTCGATAACTAAGGGTAGTTTTTTTTCCCACTAAAAGCCGTTTTCAATCCCTTTCGTTTTGAACGAACTTCTAAATTAGTTTGTTCCTTCAAATGCAGTTGGAATTTAATCATTTCATTTGTTTGGCCTGCAAATCGGACATTGTACCTTTAAGTGCCACTTTGGCAGGAATGGAATGAACAACGGCTACAGATAGCCCACGTGACCAATAGCCTACATAGGCGACGACAACTAGTCGGATACCCCACACGACCGACATATCGCTCTCCCTGACCGATCTAAAATATCGTTTTTCTTTTTTAAAGTCCATAAAATGCTATGAAAACCTTTTCGTTTCTTTACTGCAGTGAAAATAAAAGCTGATAAAGACTACGAGTACAAAACCGCGAACATTCAGAGAGAAAAAAAAGTTGAATTTGCCCAGTTTATAATCCCTAGAGTTTATTCTTAATTCAAACAAAAATTTGCTTATACAATATATTGCAACCTATCGCATTGATTTATTACCCTAACTTCTTTTGTTAGATCATGTTTGAGACCTTCAACTCGCCCGCCATGTACGTCGCCATCCAGGCCGTGCTTTCCCTCTACGCCTCTGGTCGTACCACAGGTATCGTTTTCGACTCTGGCGACGGTGTTTCACACACTGTACCTATCTATGAGGGTTACGCCCTCCCCCACGCCATCATCCGTCTGGACTTGGCTGGACGTGATCTTACCGATTACCTGATGAAGATCCTTACCGAGCGTGGCTACTCTTTCACCACCACTGGTAAGACATGATATGGATAATAGCAATACTAATGATGATAATTAAAATAGGGATAATTATAATATTAGAATACTTATGTAGACAGATGAATATCTTACCAAAGGTCAGTCGTCTCGGGTTGCAATTCAAACCTCACATCTCTTTATCTTCAAGCCACAGACCACAATATCTGCATGTCCATTCATGTTACTGCTTGATAAAATCCTTCTGACAAAGGAATATCCGATTAGATCGACAATAATTAATAAAAATACCCCTCTACGGCCCGGTGGATTTCAACACATTTCACTGTTATCTTCACATTTTACAATTTTTCTGCAATTGATATGTAACTGCATCCATTATTATCTCTTACAGCTGAGCGTGAAATCGTCCGTGACATAAAGGAGAAGCTCTGCTACGTAGCTCTCGACTTTGAGCAGGAGATGGCAACTGCTGCCTCATCCTCCTCCCTCGAGAAGAGCTACGAGCTTCCCGACGGACAGGTCATCACCATCGGCAACGAGCGATTCCGCGCCTCAGAGACCCTCTTCCAGCCCTCTTTCATTGGAATGGAATCTGCTGGAATCCATGAAACCACCTACAACAGCATCATGAAGTGCGATGTTGACATCCGTAAGGATCTATACGCCAACACCGTTCTCTCCGGAGGCTCCACCATGTTCCCAGGAATTGCTGACCGCATGCAGAAAGAGATCTCCGCCCTCGCCCCACCAACCATGAAGATCAAGATCATCGCTCCTCCAGAGAGGAAATACTCTGTATGGATCGGAGGCTCCATTCTTGCATCTCTCTCCACCTTCCAACAGATGTGGATCAGCAAGCAGGAATACGATGAGTCTGGTCCATCCATCGTCCACAGGAAGTGCTTCTAAACAACCTTCCAACATATGTGGATCAGCAAGCAGGAATACGATGAGTCCGGTCCATCCATCGTCCACAGGAAGTGCTTCTAAACAACTTGATTTTCTTCTACTTCTAATGAGCAACCTGATTTGTTTTCTTCTGTTTTACTCCATGTTGCCACCTCTTGATAAACTTTGGTTACGGATGGTAACATGTTATTAGATATTCACCTCTGTCTTTATCAAAAAAGGTTTTACCTTTGTTCTAAATGTACAAACGTTCATTACAAATATATAAGTATAAATTATATATATATTATATTCAGATTTAGAAGAACAAAAATAAAACGCATCTGTCACTCTGTTGATTGGAGAATGCAATACAAACAATACTAACTACACTATTTTTTTTTATTTGCGGGCATGTAAGCGTTTGTAATTGTAAACATAGTTATATACAGTTATTTATAGGCTAAGGAATGTTTTCAATATGACAATGGTAAAGTACGGGTGCAGGATTGTAATGGGGGACCATTGTGATGCAAACAATGTACACATTATATACAGTCAAACCTGCTTTAGTGACCACCTGTCTTCAAAGAGCAAATTGTTTGTTTCCCTTGATAATGGTTTCTCATTGAAACATGTACTATAGGCACCTGTCTTCAAGGAACACCTGCTTATACAGACCACTTTTCTTGCCTCCCTTTGGTGGTCTGTATAGACAGGTTCCACTGTGTAACAATACATGCATAAACAAACATAATATAATTTTAAGCAATAGGCTATTTTCGTAATGTAACCAAATTTAATGCATAAGTCTTTGCAAAGTGCCTCAATACAAATTATTTTATTCACCTGATGAGAATAATACAATTTCAATAGACCGAACTGCATACATTAGTTGTTGCAAAGTTGGACAAACATTATGGCTTGACCTACCTAGCAACACTTAATATATGCAGTTGCATTCTGACTATTGAATACTATTATTCCTATCAGGTGAATGAAATAATTTGTATTGAGGCATTTCACAAACACTTATGCATTAAATTTGGTCACATTACGAAAATGGCCTATTCAGGAGCCTTGTAGGTCAAATTCTGGGTAACCTAAATAATGCCAATTAATTTTCTAAAGAGGAGTCATACGATATGCCCCATGCATCCCCCTTCAAACCCTACATCCACCACTGATGATGTCAATATATGTACGTGAAAGGGTAGTGTGTTTGCTAGAGCTGTCAACATGTGCGTGATTTCTTTTCTGAATGGAACAAGGCGTGTGTGATATTCGTATTCTGAACAGTGGCTTAGCTACAAGGGATCACAGGGGACACGTGCCCTCTAAGACTTATTGCCTGAAAAAGGAGAGACAAAAAAAGAAAAGGGAAAAAAGAGATGAAAGGAGGGAGAGACTATTTGAAAAAGGATGCTTTGACCACCTTCCACATCTTCCCCCGGATTAGTTGCCCTTGGAATTTGAATTACATCAACCGACCCCAACCCAAATGCCGGTACCCTCACCGTACCATGACCAGAATAACATAAGGAAAGACAAAGAGAAAGTGATAGAATGATTTTTTTTTTTTAAATAACATAAGAAAAGGTGAAAGAAGGAAAAAATACAGAATAACATCAGGAATGATAGAAAGAGAAAGTGATAGAATGATAAAAACAAAGAATAACATGAGAGAAGATGAAAGAAGGAAGAAACAAAGAATAATATGAGGAAAGATAGAAAGAAAATATGATAGAATGATAACAACAACAATAACATTAGGAAATACAGAAAGAGAAAATTATAAAGAATAGACAATGGAAAGATAAAAGAGAAGATGAAAGAAGGAAAAACAAAGAATGACATAAGGAAAATAAAGAGTATAATAGAATGATAAACGAAGAATAACATGAGAAGTGAAAAAAGGAAAATTGAATAAGCATGCGGGGGCCATTACGTCGTCGTGTAGAGAACGGGCGTCGACTAAAAACGAAAAGGGTTATATAAACCAGTAAATAGGACGGGTGTCTGACGCCAATTCGCAGTAGAGGACGGGAACGCGGTCCTCGTCCACACAAACGAAAAGCCCATAATGTTAAAACGACTGGAAAGATAGCGGCGTAGGTATATGGAGGTACGGGGAGGGAACGACAATGGAAAGATAGAAGAGAAGATGAAAGAAGGAAAAACAAAGAATGACATAAGGAAAATAAAGAGTATAATAGAATGATAAACGAAGAATAACATGAGAAGTGAAAGAAGGAAAATTGAATAAGCATGCGGGGGCCATTACGTCGTCGTGTAGAGAACGGGCGTCGACTAAAAACAAAAAGGGTTATATAAACTAGTAAATAGGACGGGTGTCTGACGCCAATTTACACTGGCTACCCATTCACTCTCGCATTTTATTCAAAATATTGTTGTTAGCTTATGAATGTTTTTATTATTTTGCACCTCCTTATTTGATAGAGCTATTAAAATTGTACAAACCTTCTAGAAATCTTCGTTCTAATAAGACAAAATTGTTTGTTATTCCACCAGTGATTACCAGGTCATTTAACATTTAATTCATCCATTTTGTCTGTTACCCAGAGAGCGCTTAGGGACATGTTTTAATACTATGTGTTATGCGCTATACAAGAACGGGTAATTATTATTATTATTATTAGAGGACGGGAACGCGGTCCTCGTCCACACAAATGAAAAGCCCATAATGTTAAAACGACTGGAGAGGTAGCGGCGTAGCTATATGGAGGTACGGGGAGGGAACGTACCCCCCCCCCCCCCGAGTGATCAAATGAATAAAACCATAACAATTACCTTCTGGGCAATCACCCCCGGCAATTACCAGCGAGACAACCCCCCCCCCCCCCTCCAAAGGACAATTACCCCCAGAAAATACCCCCAGAAAAATTACCTCCTCAGGACAATTACTCCCTAGGAAATTTACTACCCCTTTAGTCAGGAGCGGCGGAGCGTCTTCCAAAATGAGGTGGGGGCACCATAAAAAGTGGGCACTTTCTGAAAAAATAGGGCACCTAAAAAAGGAAACCTCATGTAACGTCAAATAGTTCTACTTCGGTGTAATTATAGGTGCATTGGTTAACTTTCCCATAAATATTTTTTGCTTATCTACTTTGTAATTTATTTTTTTATTAATGTTCTTTATATATTTAAATTTGTCATGGTTTTAAAGCGCATAGAGACACTTTCAATTCATTATAAGCTTTATAAATATTCTCTATTATTATTAATGATGACTTATCAGAAGTGATTATTAGAAAGGAAAAGGGAATGTGTCAAAATAACATAGGCACTTATCAGAGGTGAAAAGGAGCGAAAAGGAAAGGAAAGAACAGGAGGGGAAGGGGAGCTTTACACAAGGAAGAGGGACACTTGTCAAAGTATAAGAGGGCATTTTTCTTATGAAAAAGGGGCACTTTTCCTACCTAAATAAGGGTACTTTAGGTGTACTTGTAAAAGTGGAAGGGGGCACTGTGTCCCCTACCCCTAAACAAAGTTCAAAATCAAAGTTCCCTTCAAGTTAGGTATATGTTTGTTGTAATGTTAAAATACATTGTTTTGTGGTAAAATAATCTCTTTTGTAATCAAAATTGCCTTCAAGCTATATATACATACATATATATTTATTATACACGTATATATTGGTATGCACAGTGTCATGTTATCATATAATAACAATTCCGCTTTCAGGAATTTTCATTTCATTTGGTTTTGTAGCTTCACAGATATGTATTTTCATGCAAACCTCGCTCAAAATGATAACTTTCTTGGAAAGCAGCAGCACGGGTGTAGCATATACATTACAGAGAAGGGAAATGTGTATTCGGTAGGGAAAGTATTTCGAGGAACATGGGTCCTTACATGGGATATAATGGGCTCGTAGCCTTCTTCCCTCAGATCGTCTTTTACACTCGAATTCTCTTCTGTTAAGAAAACAAACTTTCATTAGAATAATGTTATCAATATTGTATTATAATTCTATTATAATTGTATTTGCCCTATTATTTAAGAACTTTAGGTAAAGCCCCTGCTGACATCAAACAAACCCACACACACACACAGACAGACACACACACACGCACACACATAAAAGACTAAACAAGGAAAAACAGGCCACCAGTATGTGCGTATGTCTGCATGTGTGCTTGTGTGTGAGTGTGGGGGGGGGGCTAGCACACGATGTTTGTGCTTTTGGCAATTGTCCTGGGGTACTTATTAATTAAGATATATTTCAAAAACAAAATTGTGTAAAAAAAAAAAAAAAACACCTTCGTTTTTATACAAACACGGTCACTTTCCACCGAATTTAATTAAGCCGCTATTTGATTCACGGTGGAAACAAATATACATTATGAGTTACGCACTGTCCTCCGTTGTAACGACTGACTTGTATTTGTTTATTTTTTTTTTAAATCTATTTATTTACTTATATATATTTTTACAGGCACACAAGATCAGAAATAAATCTGTTTCGCATCTTGGACATGGTATTAAAAGCATCATATAAAAAGTAGTAACAATAACAAAGCAAAATACACAATACATCATAATAATACAAAATATGGTAGCATAACAATTCAAGGCCAAGTTACCAAAAATAACTTAAGAGTAGGTGATAAAAGGAAGAAACTAAGGATAGTGAAAGGAAAGATAGGAAGAGAATATAATAACAACAAAGAACAACACAAGAGAAGGTGATAGAAGGAAGAAACAAAGGATAGCGTAAGGAAAGATAGGAAGAGAATATAATAACAACAAAGAACAACACAAGAGAAGGTGATAGAAGGAAGAAACAAAGGATAGCGTAAGGAAAGATAGAAATAAAATATAATAAAAACAAGAATGATATAAAAGAAGGGGATAGAATGAAAAACAAAGAATAACATAAAGAAAGATAGACGGAAGAGAAGATGAAAGGTGGAAAAACAAAGAATAATATAAGAAAAACAGATAGACTGATAAAAGTGAAACAAACTATTGCATAAGATCAGGCACTCTATTCGGTTATTTGGCGCGAAACATTTGACCCGCTGACCTTTGCTACCTCAGCAACATGAGCGGTCTAGCTCGTTCGCGCTATACCATGGCAACAAGACCGGTCTAGCTTGTGAGTGTGATCATAAACGAAGCGTACCTCTGAAGCGATCGAGTGGATCGGCCTAGCCTAGATCGGTTTAAAAAGGGAGTAAGAACGGGGTGACCTCTTGGGTGTTTATGAGCCGCGAAGCATTTCTAAAAATGCCTTACCGTCAGATCATCTTTTTTTTCATAAATAATTGAAGCGTAAAATAACATCCTTTACGAATAAGCACCGAATCTCATTTGCATATTCTTTTCAATGCATTCCTTATCTGCCCTGAGGCGTA